GGGGGGTGTTCTTTTTGCTCTTGTGACTGCACTTTTGCTGTTGCCTCATTTTCATGGGAAAACGTGTTCCCATGGAAGAGCTAAACGTCTTTGGCATTTCAGCGAATTGCAAACTGAATACAAAATAGAACTATATTTTCTACATATTTTTATTCCAATGCACTCTGAACATGCATCTAAATTGGTTCATCTGGGCCGAGCCCGTGGTGCACTCGGGAGAGTGCGGCACTGGGAGCGCAGCAGCGCTCCCGCCGCGGGTTCGGATCCTATATAGGGATGGCCGCTGCACTCACTGGCTAAGTGCGGTGTGGCCGGTCTCAAAAACAAAAAATAAATAAATAAAATAAATTGGTTCATCTAAGACATTATTTCTCCTATGTATTCATACTTGTGTCTTCATACCAAATTATAAGCTTCTTGGAAGAACAAAATTTTATTCATACTCATCCCTAGCAAGAATGATTCTAGATCTATAATGTAAGCCTTGTAACAGAAATTTTAGTAACTAATGAGTTATTCCAATCCCAGGAGACTTCTACTATGATTTTTTTCTCCACTCATATGGACTACAAGGAAGCAGCATCTTAGATAAGATACACATATGACACACACACACAAGGAATGGTGGATGTTCAGGTCTCTGTCTTGTGACCCAGGGCTGGTGATTCAATTTGAGAAGAAATGTGGAATTACAGGGACTGGTGTCATTTGAAAACATGGCTGTGGAATTTCTCTGGGAGGAGTAGCAGGACCTGTGCACTGCTTAGAGGACCCTGTACAGGGACACAGTGCTGGAGGCCTCCAGTAGCCTGGTGTCATTGGGTGAGTAGTTGGGTGAGTTACTTTCCAGTAACTCCCAGGAGCAACACTTTCTGTGTTAGTAAACAAATAAGCCATTTTAATTTATAATTAATGCTATTTAATTATAATTCCATTACATGGAGAATGTGAGTGTCATAGAGTGTAGAAGAACCCCCAAACCAGAGCCTTCCAGGTCAGTCAGTGCACACATGGCAGGGAAGCTGGAAAGTATAAATCCCAGTGGATGTTTGCCACGTTCAGCTGTTTACACCATTATCCCCCAGCTCCCAGGCCTGAGAACAGCTTGTTTGCATGAGTCAAACACATACGTTGTATAATCTCCAAGGAGGGCTCTCACATGTATACCTTCACCTCTTATTTTGCTGAATACTTAAAATCAAATCCCTGCATTTCTCCTTTGACATTTACTTTTGCTATTTTCAATATTCTCAGTTCCTCTGTGTCCTCTATTCTTATGGACGTAATTTCTCAGATTTCCATTTGATTTCCATTGCTTAAAACAGAACACCTGATGCTGATGCTTGCTAATTTACAAGGAACCAAAATGTGTTTCTTAACAGTTCATAGACTGAGAAGACCGAGGTCATAGAGATGCATCTGGTGAGGGCCTTCTACATGGTGGGGACTCTTAGCAGAGTCCGGAGGTGGTTCAGGGTATCATATGGGAAGAGTAGCATGTCCGCATGGTTTCTTCATCTCTGTATAAAGCCCCCAGTCTACTTACTTACAACCCATTAAATCATTAAGCTATTAATCCATGAATGGATCAATACATCACAAGGGCTTAGCCCTCCCTATCCATCACCTCCCCAAAGCTCTAATTTTCAAATACCATAGCTGGATATCCCACCCTCTTAACAGTTACAATGGGGATCAATTTTCAGTATGAGTTTTGGAGGGACATTCAAACTATACCACAGACATTTATTCATACATTTAGTCTTTTAACACATCTTTATCATGCAGGTTATAAGCACTTGTGATTTTTTACTTGTTCCTATAACAGAAATGATCTAAATAATGTCCCTTTTTAATAGACTTTACATTCTGACCAGAGAAACAAGAAAATATGTTAACTAGTTGTGTTGAATTCATATGGAATATTTAATCAAAGTGAGAGAAAAAAATAGGAATTACAATTTAGGAAGAATTTTCAGAGAAGGCAGTTTTAGAAAGATTATTGTTTACTTTGGTGTAGCTTCAGTTCAAATGAACTGTTTTTCAATTGTGACATATAATACATATATGAATATAAAATATAGATTTGAGAGTGAACATCATGGTTGCAGATACAAATTTAGAAACCAGTGGCCTAAAGCTGGTATTTAATGTCATACTTACAGAGGTGGTCTGCTAGGAGGTTGACAAAAAAGTGAAATAAGAGGCCCAGGAGTGAGTCTTGTGTGCCACCACCACAGAAATCATGACGCTGAGGAAGTCCCAGCATAGGAATGAGCAAGGGATGGTTCTGGACTTGGGAGGACAAACATGATTCAGGGTCCTGAGACCAAGTGAACTGAGGTTTTCATGTTGAAATGCTCAGATTTCTGTTTGAGAGTTGTATTAGTCCATTTCTGTTGCTTATAACAAAACACTTGGACGTGAGTGATTTGTAATAAAATTAAATTTTATTGCTTACAGTTTCAGAGGCTGGGAAGTCCAAAGTCCAAGGAACACACCTGGTGAGGGTTTTCTTTGGTGATGGCTTTACAGCAGTGCAGGGTCTCACGTGGCAGAGAATGTCGGAGCAGAGACAGAGACAGACTCCCATGTGCCCTTCTTTTAAAGCCCTCAGAACCATGCCCCTGAACACCATTATTAATCCATTCACTCTGGCATAGCCCTACAGTCCAATCACACCTTTAAGGCCCCACCTTTCAATTACCATAATAGAACTTCCCACCCTCAACAGTTACAATGGAAATTAAGCTTCTAAAATATGAACTTTGGAGGAAAAAATTCAATCTACAGCAGTAGTAAACTTTAAAGTTAGCATTTCCCCCTTCTCTTTGTGGAAATTATTCTAAAACAACAAAGAGAATGAGTAATGTTCAGGAGACTCCATTTTATTTGAAACTAGAAGACATCTGAAATTCTATTGCACAAAATAAAAGCCTTCAGAAAGAGTGAATTATCAAGCCAGGGGTGTGAGTACCATGAAATGTGGGGAGAGTGGCAGTCAATCTCAGAAGAAGCCAGAAAAACATTTTTCAAAGGTGGTGGGCACAGCCTGAGCTGCAGAACCAAGTATTAGACCCACCAGGGAGGAGCTGCCCAGGGTGGTGGGCTGGAGCTTCCTGTACCTGTCACGGTTGTAAGAAGCAGAGGAAATAATGTCAAATGAGGACTGTGAAGGAAACTGTCTTCATGTAGTGTAAGAAAGAGCAGATTTTATATTCTAAATCCCCCCAGATGCCGGTAGGCATTCTCCAGGGAACAGTGAAAACTCACGAAACATGGATGAAAATCCTGAACCTAAGTGACATTCCTTCTTATGTGACAGGAATATCTCCTGCACATAAAAGTAGATGAACCAAATAATCTTTGCCATCTACAAAGCAGAATAATGAGAAAAGCAGCATGAGACACCCACTGTTGTTTAAAAATAAAATATAAAGAAAGAACAGGGTAAACAAATGGCTGGTAATTAACACTTAGTTGAAAATTATGAACAGGCAGTGGGTGAATATTTTTATTAAATATTTCTTCTTGAGCCTGGCCAGTTGATCAGAGCTCAGTGTTATAACGTCAAGGTCAAGGGTTTGGATCCCCATAGCAGCCAGCCACCAATCAATCAATCAATAATAAATAAATAAATAAACAAACAATTTCTTCATGAATTAAAAAAGAAAGTAAACAAAATGAGGAAAACATAATTTAGCATTAGAATATCTATTAACATAATTTATTACATTAAGTCAATTGGAAGAAAACCTATATATTCATAAATCAATCCCCATTATTGATTTTTACGAAATCTCATGCCACTAGAATAGAATCTTCTTTACCTTTAAGAGAGCATTCAATAAGGTATACTTATGTGTGGTTCATGGATATAGTTATTTATTTTTTTCATTTCAGATGTCCAGATAGATGATAATGTAATTGAGAGGAGTCAAGAAAATCATGATAGATTTTGTGGCATGTTGTCTTCACCAACAGGAACACTTCAACTGAGAAGAGAGTTGAGTTAAAAAAAAAAAGTTTAATTTCAGCTGAAGCCATATTTCAAATCTAACTATAAATAATGAAATCTATTCAGGAATGAGGCCTGAGGAGTTTAACATATGTCAGAATGCACTTCCTCCTAGTCTGATGAGACACATGCCGCAGAGAAATCTGATGACGATAACATACCTGGAAAATTGACAGACATCGTGAGCATCTTAGTGAGCATAACAAGATTTAAACTAGGCAAGAGCCTTTTGAACATTGTGGACGAGGGAAAGCCTACAACATATTATTATTTACACATAAGCCAATATTATTTACACATAAGAAGGTTCATATGGGAGAGACCTCCTGTAAATATAATCAATATAGGAAATATATATATATTTTTTTTTCCTTTTTGTCTTTTTTTTTTACTGACCGGTAACGGGATCGCAACCCTCGGTGTTGCGCCCGCACCGTGCTCAGCCAGTGAGCGGGAACCGGTCTCCACATGGGATCCAAACCCTCGGCGGGAGCGCCGCCGCGCTCCCAAGCAGCGCACTCTCCAGTGTGCCACCAGGCTGGCCCAATATAGGAAATATTTTGATAAGTCAAATTTCTTTTTTTTTTTTCGTGTCCGGCAACGGATCGCAACCCTCAGTGTCGCGCCCGTACCGGACCGGGACCGGCAAAGGGATCGCAACCCTCGGTGTTGCGCCCACACCTCGCTCAGCCAGTGAGCAGGAACCGGTCTGTATGTGGGATCCGAACCCTCAGCGGGAGCGCCACCGCGCTCTCAAGCGGCGCACTGTAGCAGTGCGCCACCAGGCCGGCCCTTGATAAGTCAAATTTCATTGCCCAAGAGACAATTCAGGTATTAGGAGAAACTTTTCAATGTAAAATATGTGGGAAAACGTTCTATAAAAAGTCTAAACTCATTAAACATTAGAAAATACACACAAGAGAGAAACCCTACGAATGGGATGAATGTTAGAAATTCTCCAAAAAGAAATTATCTCTTACAGTACATCAAAAAACACATACAAGGGAGAAGCCCTATGCGTGTAATGAATGTGAATTTTTTTTTCAGAAGTGGGAGCTTACTATGCATCAGAGAATTCACACAGGAAGAAAGTCCCATAAATGTAATAAATGTGGAAAAACCTTTCATTGGATGTCACACCTCAGGATACATTAGAGAACTCTCCTAAAAGTAAAATCTTAGGGATGTACAGCTGTCCTTTGGTAATCACAGGGTATATGTGCCAAGACCCCCTCATGGTTACCACAATTTGTGGATCCTCAAACCACTAACATAAAATGGTGTAGTATTTGTGTATAACCTATGCATTTACTGCTTTATAATTTGCATCTTGTGTAAATTGCTTATAATACTGAATACAACATAAATAGCATGTAAATAGTTCTTAAACTGTGTTGTTCTTTATTTGTATTACTTTATTGTTGTATTATTTTTCACTTTTCATTTCTTTCAAATGTTTTTTACTCATGGTTGGTTAAATCCATGGATGTGGAACCCACAAATATGGAAGGATGACTGTAATAAATGTGGAAACATCTTTCATCATAAGTCACCCTCAGCAGGCAGCAGAGAATTTACACAGAGTAGAAAGTCTTTATGGCAGAGACTGGCTATGTGTTGTCCAAAAACCACCCTCTTTTCTCTTGTACACACAGGTAGCCTGCCCACTCAGCCTTTGTGTGGAACCAGGTAACTGGGCTCTGTTCAGGGGAATATGAATACAAGTGGTGAACATTAAGGCCTGGCACAAGCACATGTCTATGAAGTTTTTCCTAGTTTCTCAGGCCTTCTGGGATTGAACTGCAGATGACCCTCAGGATGGTCTTGAGAGCCATCGGTGAGAATAGGCCTCCATAAGACACAAGAGATAGATTTCAGAGGGCAGATCTTCTCACTTCTATCCCAGACCCTCTGTTTGTACTTTACATGAGTGAGAAATAAAGACTTAACTTTGTTGAGCCATTGTATGAGCGATGTTTGCATTACAACACAATTGGCCCACTGTAGCTAATTTGCCTGATGAACTTTATGACAGAAGATACATGGCCTTGTATATGAGAAGATTCACACAGAAGAGAAACCTGTGCTGCCACCTTTGATCCCCAGGTCAATTTATGGAAAAATCAAAGAAGTCATGGGAGAAACAATGCAACAAATTGAGAATGCCATATAAAGAGGAAGGTCTCACTGATTGTGAAGAATAAAGTAAATCTTTATAGATATCTTTAATATGTCAAGGCTTTCAACAAAACTTCCAAGTGTACTATATATCAGAGAATTTGAGATGAAGGAAAAACTATCAAGTTATGCAATATGGATGTAAATTTCCAAACAGATATGTTAACTATAGCATTAAACTATTTAAAAATATTTTATCACCTACCAATAGTTAAATATTGGTGTTGATATTGTCTGCCCAGAGACATTTGGCTATGTCTGGAGACATTTTTGGTTGCCATAACTGGAGGCTGGAAGGAGTTAGTCCATCCAGTGGCCAGAGGCCAGGGGTGCTTCTCAACAGCCTCAGATGCACAGAACAGCCCCCACCAAGTGCATAGGTTTTATACATATATGTGTTCTATGTGAACAGGAGTTTTCCTTAGTGGAACCCAGCATAAATGCACGTAGGAAATATATACACTTAACATAATGTATATTGTGACTTACATTTGTACCTATCACATTAAATGCCACCCTGGCCTCTTTATAGCTTGTTAGAAAGAAGTCAAAGAAGTATTGCAGTACATACTTTTTTCTTATTCTCACAGTGTGTACATTTGTATGACCTTTACTACCAATCTTTCTCCTAAATTAAGAAAATAACTTTATTCTAAAACTTGAAGGCAATACAAAGCAAGTCAGTGGGTGTAGTAGAAACATTGTTTCCATACAAATGGACAAACCAGGCACCTAATTGTCAACAGCTTGAGTCTGAATTAACTTAAACAGCTGTGAACAATATTACTCATTTCATTCTAGTCAGTGAAAAGCCATCTCTGGGGGAAAACATTTTCCTTTCGTTCCTATTTCTCATTTCTTTAATTGTGACAGCTGCATAATCAGCGTGTGCACCACGTGCTGTGTAACTGAGGCTCCATTTGCAGTGATGGAGTGCCATGGGTGTGTCTTGCCACCAAAAGGGCGACCAATAAATTCTGGGTCGACTTGTGTAAGACATGAGCACTGACCTCTCTGGGCTTCTGATTTTTATATTAAATAAAGGAGTAATAAAAGAGCCTGCCTCAAAGGGTTATTGTGAGAAGTACACTAGATACAAATAATTTGGATATTACCCGGTACCTGGTAAACAGCATATAATCTGTAGAGCTATGAAGGTATGGCTTGTTATCATATTTTACAAAATCCCTTCATGGGGAATTGGGAGGAGGTGATAACAAACTGTTGTTTGGCTTCCCAAAAGCCACCTCCCAGCAGGACCCGGCCCCGCCACCCCGAGGCCCCGGCCCCGCCTGCCGGCCCGGTCCTCCTGAGGGGAGGGCGGCTCTCCTGTCCCCGCCAGCGCTGGGCTCCCGCCGTCTCCGTCCCCTCCCTCCACGCTCGGGGCTCGGGGACCCTCCCGAGGCGTCCGCGCTCCCTGGATCTAAGGAGCGTCTGGAACGCCCGCTGACGCCGACACTGGCCCGACAACGGCCACACCCGGGCTCCCGCCTCCCGCAGAGGGGCGAGGCCGAGGGGACCGTCGCCGGTCGTCCCGGAGTTGGCCTTTAGGGATGTGTCTGCCTCGTAGACGTCCGCCTGAGCCTGGCCGGCCGAGGGCTGGGCCAGGCCTGTAGGACGGCGACACAGCCGGGGTGTCCGTCCCTCCTGCGGGAAAGGAGGCGGGAAGCCGCGCGGCTGGGGCGGTTCCTCCGCGGACGGTCCCCGCACGGCGGCTGCAGGAGGCGCCCTCCGGTCGCAAGGAAGCGCCTGCCGCGGTGTCTTCCTTGGTGCGCTTCAGGACGCTCTTGTTGCCACGGCGACCTGGGGACCGTTTGGGGAAGGGCCAGCAGGTGGCGCCGTGGGGTGGGGGGAGGAATCCGCGCCGCCAGCTCCAGGCCGAGGGGACGCACCTCATGCGAAGTGGACGGGCTGGGCGACCGGACACAGCGGAAGCCCCCACTTCACCTCATCCCCCCTTTGTGTTTCATTTTATAGTGTCGCTGGCACAGGGACCTTTCCTCTTTAAACGTTATGTGTCATCAGAACAATTTCAAAGGCCATAAACATCGTCTCGTTATTTTTGTCCTGTGAAGGGCAGACACGTTTAACCATCACAGGCGTCATCTTCCCCGCTGGGAAAAGGGGAGCGAAGCCCCCTTGCCGCACCCCCTTTTCTCAGCGCGTTCACATGAGCACGTTCCCCCGGCGTTTGCAAAGGCATGTGCATCTCTCCAGGCCAGCCCCGGCAAACAACGTTTCCTGAAGAGCTCGGGAGGCATCTCTGAAATGTGACCACCGAGGAAGAAAACGTCCCCTCTCCCCGTTTCCTGGGGGTGACTTGGGCCCCTGGTTCCAAATTGCAAACCGCCTGGGGCCGTGAAGACGCGAGGAGTCAGTGACTGTGCATCCCAAGGACGGGGACGGACAGATCGTTCCGTCTCGCTGTCCCCTCGGCGGGCTGCCTGGGGTCGCCCACGTCCTGATTCCACGCTTGCTCAGTAATCACTGTTTTCTCTCCCTTTCACGTTTGCAGAGGGATTTGCTGGGTGGGGAGGAGGTTTTGTTCTTTTTTCCATTTTCCCGACACCCTGAACAGCATGGCCAGGGCCCTCGTCTCTAGCTTAGGGAATCTGACGTTTTTACTCGATTTTCTTCAAGTGACCGCCTTGTTGTATATACAAGAGACTCAGAAGAGGAAATCCTGCAGCCTCTTTCATAGCCCATTTCACTGTTTAACCATAAAGTCTAGTGTCAGAAATGGCAGAGCCTCTCATCCGGCATTTTCCCGAGTGTAGACCCACCGGAGCCGTGTCCAGAACTCGGGGTGTCTCTGGAAGGACGTTACCTCGGATGGAAGCGACGATCTTCGTTGCCGCCCGGGGTAGCTGCATGACTTTCTCTCTGGAGATGCTGCTCCAATCTGTGTGCTGAACGCCCCGCAAACTCCATTGAGCCACGGTTCAAAAATATGCAACGTCTAGAGCCTGAGCTCGGGGAGGGGGTACAGGACGGTGCTTCACGCCCGCTGCACGGAGCCTCCGAGGCTGCAGGACGTGTGTGCAAAGCCAGCAGGCTCTGGGGAGCTCGGTCCACCCAGCACCCGGTATTTCTTTTTGTTCCCCACGTTACTTTGGGGACCTCTTGAAAGAAGGCTTCAGGTGGAGCAAGTGGTGGTTCTCACTGGGGTGACTTTAGCGTGACCCTAATATTTTGTGACCGGCGTGTGAGTTTCCCGGGGCTGCCATAATAAAGAGCCATGCACGGAGTAGCTAAAACAACAGAGATTCACTCTCTCACAGTTCTGCAGGCTGGAAGTCCGAGATCAAGGTGTCAGTGGGTTTGGTTCTGTGCAGAGGACCTGAGGGACAATCTTCCATGCCACTCTCCCAGTTTCTGGTGTTTGCCGGCAATCCTTGGCATTTCTTGGCTTGTGGCTGCAACCCTGCAATCTCTGCCTAAGTCTTTGCATCACCTTCTCCTCTGTAGTCATCAAATCTCCTCCGCCCTCCTCTTAGAAGGAAAACTGGGATTGCATTTAGAGCTCACCTAGATAATCCAGCAGCATCTCCTCTTATGAAGGGCCTTAAACACAACTCCAAAGTCTCCCCACCCCCATCTTTACTTTGCCATATAAAATAGTATTCAGAGATTCCAGGGATTAGATGAGAAGGTGTATGTCTTTTGGGGGGAAGGAGCATCTGTAAGTTTACCAAAGGTACCATACACAATTTTCAGTGTGCTTCCACTAAAATGGAGCAAGAACCAAAAAAGCCTAGTATAGCAACCTGCAAAAAGAATATGTCAGCATTTTATGATTCTCCATACACAGAACAGGGACAGACATCTGCAGATCAGGACAGAAGTTGGTCAGACACAGAGAAAGCTGCTTCTCCTTTCTTCTCTTCTCCAATTTGTGGAGAATAACGGGCTGCTTTGAGTTGTTAAAAATGATCACATAGGATCAATTATTGACACATCCTACAACATGGGTGAATCCAAAAAAAACTACATTGTTCTAAGTGAAAGAATCCAGGCACAAAAGAACTAATATTGCTTGATTTTATTTATATTAACTCTCCAGAATAAGAAAAAACCAAGAGACAGAAAGCAGGTTGGGGGTTGCTTAAGGCTAAGGACAGAGAGAGAAGGCAGTGACTGCTTCACGGTCACGCGGTTTTGTTTTGGGACCTTCAAAACATTGTGGAACTAGATAGAGGAGGAGGTTGCACAACGAGGTGAATGCGCTAAGTACCTGTGAGTTGTATACATATTCGTGGGGTACAAAATTGACTATCAATATTGTGTACAATGTGTGATGGTCAAATCGGCATGTTAACTCATTCATCGTTACAATAGTAATCATTCTCTGTGTCCGTTAACCGTTAACCAACTTCTCATTAAGCTCCCTCCCCCTCCCCCTGCCAGTCCCCCTTTCTCACCCCTGGTGGCCTCAGTAGTGTTCTCTCTTTTTGAAAGTTCAACAAATTATTGTGATTGTTGTATCTTTCTTTTTAAAATTTACTTTTTAGCTCCCTGAGTGAGGACGTGCTGTATTTCTCTTTCTGCATCTGGGTTTTCACTTAGCATAATTTTCTCCAGGCTCATCCATGTTGCTGCAAATGGCAGAATTTCATTCTTTTTTTTATGGCTGAGTAGTACTTTGGGTGAATTTTATGTCATTAATTCCAGCCGGAACCCGGCAGCCCATCCAGGCTAAATCCCCAATCCCTCCAGCAGTCTGGAAGCCAACAAGCTCTTCTCAGTGGCATCTGCAAAGCCTGAAGGAAATTGCCCAACAGCAGCACGTACAGTGTCCAGGATCACAGGAGCTTCTGGAATGATGCAGTGTGTGCCCAGCCGGCTGGGCTCTAGGGCCGGCTCTTCAGAGAGCCTGACTCGGGAAAGAAGAACCAAATTCCTCAATCACAAATTCATCCTGTAATGGTTCCAACTATTCTTGTTTGGTGCGTCCCAAGTTAGGTATGATGGTCAGACCCTGCATCTGCTCCCTTTTGCAGAAATGTGAGTTCTCCGCAGAGGGACATCTGTCGTGGTTGGAACATCTCAACGTTCCTAACTGGTTTTCACCAAAGCTCCCTGGGACACAGGAGCACTGGCTATTTGCTAACTGCTGCCCTGTCCTTTCCATGGCTACACTGTCTCCTGGGATTAAAAAGGACTAGTTTCCACCCCAGAGAGACACAGACGGTGGTAACAAGATTATAGAGCTCCCTGGAGTCCTGCCGGGAGGTTTCCCAAGGGGAACTGGTTAATAAAAATGTAGAAACTACACAGGTGCTGCCTTTCCTAACTCCAGGGCCCAGAATCTTCTATTCTGAGAAGTTTTCTGCCCCAATAAAGAACTTATGTGGCTGACCGCAGTGTCCAAGCCCCGAGCCAGCTTCCTTGCACTCTGCAGGTGACAGCATTTCCTGTTTCTGAAGATGTGTTTTCTATTTTCCTTAACTGAGTGATTTGTATGGAGTGGGAGTGATTTGTGTGGGTGGTGGAGGTGGGGATCCTCACGTATGTGCGTGTGTGTTTGCGTACATGTGTGTGTCTTTGTGTGTGCATGTATGTATTTGTGGATGTGTATATACACTTATATGTGTTTGTGTTTTGTGTGTGTTTGTATTTATATTTGTGTATGTGTCTGTGTATACACCTGGTTTTGTGTATACACGTGTTTTTTCTTTGTGTGTGCATGTATGTTTGCACATGTGAGTGTGCTTGTCTATGTTCACACGTGTTTGTGCATTTGTTAGTGTGTATGTGTATCTGTGTATGCATGTTAGTGTGTATATGTGTGTGTTCTTGTATATATTTGTGTATATGCAGTGAATGGGTACGTGTGTGGGTTGTGTGTATGTGTTGCGGTTGTATGTTGTGTGTGTTGTGAGTATGTTTTATGTCTGCATTGTGTTGTGTGTGTGCATTGTATGTTTGTGTACATGTTGTGAGTACATGTTGTGTTGTTTGTGTTGTGTGCTGTGTATCTGTGTTGTGTGTTTTTTGTGTGTATAGGTATGTGTTGTGGTTGTTCTGTGTGTGGTGTATGTGCTCTGTGTGTTGTGTGTGTGTTTTATGTATACTCTATATCTGTGTGTGCTGTGTGCATTGTGTGTGTTGTGTGTTGTGTGTGTATGTATGTGTGTTGTGTGTGTTATGTTGTGGTGTGTGTGCTCTATATCTGTGTGTGCTCTATGTGTGCCATGTGTGTTGTGAATGTGTTGTGTGTGTTGTGTGTGCTCTATGTCTGTGTGGGCTGTGTTTACTATCTGTTGTGTGTTGTGTGTGCTCTATGTCAGTGTGTGCTGGGTATGTGTTGTGTGTGTTGTGTGTGTATGTATGTGTGTTGTGTGTGTTATGTTGTGGTGTGTGTGCTCTATATCTGTGTGTGCTCTATGTGTGCCATGTGTGTTGTGAATGTGTTGTGTGTGTTGTGTGTGCTCTATGTCTGTGTGGGCTGTGTTTACTATCTGTTGTGTGTTGTGTGTTCTCTATGTCTGTGTGTGCTGGGTGTGTGTTGTGTGTGTTGTGTGTATGCTCTATATCTGTGTGTTCGTGTG